GGGAGAAGTTGGCGATGAAAGGCCTATAATAAGAGAGGAAACCAAGCATTTGACGTACCTCTCTGACGGTCGCAGGTGTTTTTTTCTTTTAAAGCCATCACCGGGGCCAGCTCTGCTGGGTCCATTGTGTAACCTTGGCCTGTAACCAGCTTGCCCAAAAACTTGACACTTTGCCTGAACAGGTCACATTTCTTTGGAGTCAGCTTAACACCATGCTGCATGTAACGCTGGAGGACAAGGCAGATGTGCTCTAGGTGCTCTTCAAAATTGCTGCTGTGCACCAGGTTGTCGTCCAGGTATGGAAGGCAAATAGTGTCTCTGAGACCTGCCATACAATGTTCCATGCTCCTCTGGAACTCAGCGGGTGCGGAGCTCAGGCCAAAGGGAATGCACACCCATTGGTAGAGCCCCCAGGGTGTGATGAAGGCAGTCAAGGGGCGGCTCTCTTCTTCCAAAAAACCCTGGTGGTATGCCTTGCCTTGATCTAACACTGAAAACCAAGAGCTCCCACCGAGTGCATCCAGCATGTCTTGAATTCTTGGTATCAGATGACGGTCTGGAACTGACTTGCGGTTGAGCTCTCTAAAGTCACAACAAAGCCAAAGGGCACCATCTTTCTTGCGGACGCACACCTATCCATCCATCCATCCATTATCTTTACCCGCTTATTCCATTTTGGGTCACGGGGGTCGCTGGTGCCCATGTCCAGCAATCACTGTGCGAGGGGCGGGGTACACCCTGGACGGGTCGCAAGTCCATCACAGGGCCACATAAAGACAAACGAGACAAACAACCATTCACTCTCTCATTCACACCTAGGGACAATTTAGAGTTACCAATCAGTCTAACATGCATGTTTTTGGACTGTGAGAGGAAACCGGAGCACCCGGAGAAAACCCACGCATGCACGGAGAGAACATGCAAACTCCACCCAGAGGGGCCCCCGGACCGGGGTTTGAACCAGGGACCTGCTCGCTGAGAGGCAGCAGCTCTACCAGTTGCGCCACCGTGCTGCCGACGCACACCTAAAAAAAGCTAAAAATAAAATGTATATATGTGAACAAGAAAGAAAACCACGCTTCGTTTTACTGAAGCTTTTAGCTCTGAGAGGATCGATCAGCTCTCAGTGTCTCTCTCCACCGAGGAGCTAACCTCTCAGCTTAACTCTGTTTGCTTAAATATTTTGGACTGTGTTGCTCCCGTTAAAACCAGGAAAACAAAACTTTTATCAGAACCATGGCTTAATGATGTCACTCAAGCCATTAGACAGCAGTGTAGGAGAGCAGAACGCAGGTGGAGGAAAGACAGGCTGCATGTTTCTTTTCAAATCCTAAAGGAGAGTTGGCGTCATTATCAGAAGGCAGTTAAAGTCGCCAAATCGAAGTTCTTTTCGGCGATAATTGCCTCAAACTCCCACAACCCCCGAGCCCTTTTTTCCACCCTGAACTCAGTTCTACACCTCAGTGAACCTTCACCTCTAGAAGCCTCAACTGAGCTGTGTGAAAACTTCCTCCATTTCTTTTCTGAAAAAGTTGCAAACACCTGGGCACTCATTTCTCCACCTGCTCATGATCCGTCCATCCCATCTCATTGTGTTGCTGTTCTTGACCACTTCGAGCCCATCTCTCTGTCTTCCCTGGAGCAGGTCATGTGCAGCATGAAGCCATCTGGCTCCCCTTTTGATGTTGTCCCCCCTCGACTCCTTAAGGAGCTTCTTCCTGTTCTGGGCCCTCCTGTTCTTGGCATTGTGAACAGCAGCTTAGCCTCAGGTGTGGTACCAATAACTTTTAAACATGCTGCTGTCCAACCTCTCCTGAAAAAACCTAGCCTTGACCCCTCAGTCATGTCCATCTTCCGGCCTGTCTCCAGACTCCCATTTGTCGCTAAACTACTGGAAAAAATTGTGGAGTCCCAGCTGAAATGCTTTCTAGAGGATAATGCCATCTTAGAGCTATTCCAGTCTGGCTTTAAACCTCTCCACAGCACTGAAACTGCTCTACTCAAGGTTTTTAACGACATTCTCCTATTCACAGACGCTGGTGATTCTGTGCTCCTTCTCTTACTGGACCTCACATCTGCCTCTTTAACTTTAACCATAACTATAATGTCTTTGAAATGTACCGGTAATCTCAGTGTTGGTTAAATGTTCATGTTCATGGCACTTGAAGTCTTTAAACCAAAATTATTTTTACTTGAATATGTAAAAAAATAAAAAAATAATTCAACCTTTATACAAGTTAGTCTCATTGAGGACTCGAGGACTCATTTACAAGAGAGACCTGTTTTAAACAAAGAACACATCAAGTACAGACAAGAGTAGACAATAGGGGTGTGAATATCTCAGTGTCTGGTGATTCAATTCCGATTTTTTTTGTGTCACGATTCGATTTAAAATCGATTTTTGCCCGTGTCCAGCTATCACTGTGCAAGAGGCGGGGGACACATGGACAGGTCTCCAGTCCATCACAGACAAATAATTCAAAAATATATAAATACAAAAGTAAACAGGCTTCAGCCTACCAAAGTGCATTAAACTTTAACTCAACATAAAATACAAACTTCTCAGTTTTTTTAACCATATTGCTCTAACATTTGTTATATGTTCAAAACTTAACCTAATGTGAAATATACAGACAAATATACAAACCATATTGATTCATATTTAGTAAATCTTTAACAAAATTTCAAAACCTGTACAAACCTGCACAAAAACTTCTGAACTGTAATTTATAAACCACAAATTGTATCATTTAGAACTGGCTCCAGGTGATGTGTCTCATCTGTCCTCTCTAACCTGTTAAAAAAAGACAAATTACATTGTTTGTTGTACAACTTGTCTATATAAATTTTTGTATAATATGAGAAAAAAACTGTTACTTTTGAGCTGCAACTGCATCAGAGCTTCTCCCATTCATTGTTTTATGGTGAAGTTATGGTGCTGCTTTATCGCAAAAAAAAAAAAGTGAAGAAATAACGTACATTGGGTCCAGCGTATTGAAAATAAAACCCCTCACCTTCCACTGAGCTGTCTGCTCTTAAATCCTTTGTGATATAGCAGGAGATAGAGAGGGAAATCTTTGGAGCCTTTGGGGCTGCTTGTTTGTTGCAGAGTTTGCTGGTCGGCTGCTTCGCTTTCATCTTCCACGCATTTTGTCGTATTTACAAAATACTGTACCGCAATTTTATTTTACGTTTCTTGTAAACAACTGTGCTCTTGTTAAGCTCTGTCTTCCCCTGGAACATTGTAGGATCTGAAATGATTTTTAAAGACAAAGGAGCGGGTTGAATCGCTCTGTCTCCCTCCTCCATGCTAGCAGGCTCCATTCAGATAAAGAGAGCTGGTTAACTAGCTTGCTGTACCGTGGCCTACATGGCCCAATTCTATGGCGGCCGAGCAGACACGTAATGCGATATGCAGTATGCTCGGGAGTAGGAGCAGAAAAAACAAAACTTAAACGCATTTTAAAATCTATTTATGGGCCTTTAGAATCAATTCTGTATCGCCAGGACCAAGAATCTAGATTCTTTAAAAAATCATTTTTTTTCTGCACCCCTAATAGACAATGATGTAAAAAGCATATTAAATGAAAAGTAAATAAGATTAATTATTAAAAAAACAAAAAACAGCTACATTATAAAGCTGTGTAAAAATACTAAAAACAGGAACATGTCTGCAGTGGTTTTTGCCATGAACTTAACAGTTGTTTAAAATCCCTTGGAGTGGTCAAAGTCAAGTAGGTAACTCTGCAGACAAATACGGAAGGCATATCTAGAGGGCCACATCTGATTGGACGATAAGAAAAATGGTGTATCTGGAGGGCCACATCTACAAAGTAATTGTATGAAAAAAAGGCGTTATTGGCAGATTGTGTTAACCACAGACATATTATGTCTATGGTGTTAACTAAAGGGCACAAAACATCAAATACATGACCTGTGGTCCCTGTAGTTTTTCTATGGAGGATCAGCTGCTAAGTCCCGGTTTCTAGCTCTTTTGGAGATCAGTTACAGTAAAAACAAACAACAACAAACCAAAAAAAAACCAACAAGAAAACAGTACATGGGTCACACCATGTATACCTTGGTTGAATGAACCCAAACATAACATATAAAATTGTATTTTATTAATTTATTGAGCAATTGTTTCCTTTAAACAGTGACATTACTGTCATGTTTTCAATTGCTTAAACAAAAACGCAAAAAGTGAACAAAGCAAGAGGACTGTCCTCAACTAACAAAAATGCATAAAGGCATTACCGTATTGTTCTTTCTATAAGTCAGTTTTTTGCATAATTTACATGCCCTGCAACTTATAGGCCGAAGCAACATATTTATTGATTTTTTCCCATATTTATAAACCATTTTTTGACTGAGATATGACTGTTTTCATTCATTCTGACTAAAAAAAATAAAAATTGAGCAGTACCACTTTCAGCCACTTGATGGCAGCAGAGTAGTAATAGTGTATGGCATGCTGTTGTATCATGTAATAGGAAAACGTGTCTATAATGACAAATTCAAAACAATTCAAGACAAAAACATCTGGACTTTATTTATTATGCTTTATACTTTGTTTTTTTTTCTTGAACTTTTTTGAATTTACCATGTCCTGGATGACTGAGAAACTTTATCAGCTTTTAATGACTCAATTGGCCTGTCATAGCCTCCCCACCTTGGTTCTGCTTGCTGTTTGGACCAACCGTCAATCCAGCTGCACTGCTCCAGCAAAATGCAGATAATTTGACCATTAAAGTGCATTTATTAAGCAAATGTTAGACTGACACACACCTTTGCTATAATTTCGAGCAACCAAATAATTGTTTTTAAGTGTTAATCTTGTTAAATTCTTGTTAAAGTCCACCCGTGCACTTGCGTCTACTCCCATTAACTTTTTTTATCCCATACTGTCCCAATCACGTGAGTAATATTAAAGTTTACTCCTATCCCACTGGATCAATCATGTTACCCATGGGATCCACTAAAAAATGTCAGTCTCTAGCATGAAGTGAGACTACCGGTAGTCTTTGAAACTGTTTGGTTTTAATACAAATGGAAACTCTGTTAACTTGAAAAGAAAATAGCAAAACTTCTGAAGCTTTTATTTTGAAATTCCACATCAGATCTTGGTGAAAACTGGTCAGCAACATCTGCAAGTGTTCTACAGTCAGCGTAAAGGGTCACTAAGACCTAACAGTTTTGTTTGAAAATTTCAGGGAAAACAAATTGACATTCTCACATGAACATCCAAATGACCACACAAAACTGTGACAAAAGCAAAAATATTTTCAATCCATATTCACAGGCGGACATTAACAATAATTTTGTAGCATAGCAGCAAGTATGACATCAATCACAGCTTTAATTTGAAAATGCCTCACCAGTGTTACTACCGTAATTCATAGTGTTTACATGCAGAACAAAACTGTCATATTCGAAGTTGAGGTTGGCTTGACCATAGCTTTTTACTGCCTGTTGTTCTCAGAGTAGGGGCAGGAGCTACATGTCAAACCACCACCAACCACAATTTTTTTTCTGTAACAGCTGAAGTTCATGTTAATAAATGCTGTGAAGCTGAGAAGAGTTCCTGGGTGAGCGATTCATCAGTTCGCTGGTATCAAACCAAGCATCGTGGTTAACCGGGGACAAAAGCTTCATCTATAGCACCCTTTTCTGAAGGGCCCCCCTTAACCCCATCTCAGGGTAATTCCCTAGCTTTTATGACCATTATTGCTCGGAGAGTGATACTGCTAAATGGAAAATCAGAATGTCACTGCATGGCTCTCCTAAGCAATTTACACATGTTTGGCAACCATTGCAACTGTTGGCTAAATTAACCAATTTTTCCTCTGTTCCAGAGTAGTTGATGTTGTTATTTACTTGTTTCTTGCCCTTTTTTAACTTTATATATTAGCAAACTTAAGCTGTTTTTCTTTTGTCTTGTATCCGTTTTTGTTGAGAGTTGAGTAGGGATGCACAATAGTATTGGCATGGTATCAGTATCAGCCAGTATTAGTGTTAAAATTCAATATCGGACATCGGTCATTCCATTAAAATAACTCTCCAATATAAAAGGCGCTGTTTTTGCCTGCAGCGGCAGCACAACGTGATGACGTTGCAGCGGCAGCACAACGTGATGACGTTGCAGCGGCAGCACAACGCAATGCGCCTACCTGATCTCACTGCGGAGAGGAAAATTCTAAATGTCAGCGGTGTGGAAGTTTTATTTTTTGTTGGTGAGGATGTTGGATTCTGAAGATTTATGGACTACATTGAGCCTGGCTACATCATCCCCAGTCAGAGATATTTTTCCGACGTAACGTTATTCGAGTTACAAGCTGTCGTTTCCGACGTCATTGAGAAGCTAATAGCTGATAGCACGACTTGTTGGGTAAGTTTTACCACAGACATTTGGACGTCATGTTAGCCCTGTTAGCATGATTAAGTTTTACAACACAATGGATAGACAAAAACTTTGAACTTAAAAAGGCTGTCCTTCATGCACAGGAGCGCAGAGGATCCCACACTGTAGCTAGGAACCTGGAACAAGCCTCCACAAGTGAGACAGCATTGCAGGTGACTAATGTTAATAAATAAAATTTAACACTTTTCATTTAATATAAGTCAAAGTGCTATGCATATCATATGGTTGTTACTGAATATGTCACCAGCTCTTACAGCTGTTGCACAATTTCTGTAGCAAATAAGCCTAAAGGGCTATGTTCTGACAATGGAACGTGTATAAAATATCGGCATCGGTTATTGGCCAAATAAGTTTTAACATATCGGCAAATCGGATATCGGCCAAAAATCCAATATCGTGCATCCCTAGAGTTGAGGTTTTTCTTTTTTATATATTCTTGATGTTCATGTTTTTCTTTGTGTGTGTTTAAATACAAAAAAAATCAAAATAAAGTTGTTGTTTTTTAAATACAGACTTCACATATCCTAATGCATGCTCAATAATCCAGGTAGAAAAATCTTAAAAAGTTAAGTCTGTTCCTCTGGACATTCAAAAAATAAGTAGAAACATTTTGTCTTTCATCCGAAAGACTTCCTCAGTCTGAGGTGCTGTATTCAGTTCAGTCTTATAAATAGCACCTTCTCATAGTGGATCAACCAGTTTGCTGCTGACAGCCAAAACTAGTTGCTCACATGATCAAGAAGGACCATCAGCCTAACGATGGATCAATAGCACACTGATGGCTGTTTACTATTCACAGAGGGCTGAGTGATACTAGCAATAACAGCATTGTAAGAGGGGGACAGTTGAACCCGGAGGCCTCCACCCCTGTTTAATGATGGACGATTTCTTTTCACAAAGATGGCCTCCTTTACTCCTCTCTCAAACCATCGTTCCTCTCTATCAAGGATGTGAACATCTTCATCCCTGAAAGAGTGACCGTTGGCCTGGAGATGAGTGTAGACCGCAGAGTCCTGGCTGGAAAATATTGCTCTTCTGTGCTGGACCATCCTTTTGGCCAGTGGCTATTTCGTTTCTTCGATGTAAGACTGATCACAGCCCTCCTGACACTGAACAGCATACACAATATTACTCTTTTTGTGCCAGGGGACTGGATCTTTGGGATGAACCAGTCTTTAATGTATTTTGGGGTTTAAAAGCCACTGGGACGTTGTGTTTAGAAAATAAACGTCTCACTTTCTCTGATACTCCCGCAACATATGGAATGACCACTGATCTGGGTCTGGGTTGCTCCTTTTCACCTGATGGCTGGCTGGAGTCCTGTTTGGGTTTCTTCTCTGCTTTCAGGAAGGCCCAGTTAGGATATCCACATTGCTCTAGAGCCTGTCTTGTGTAGGATTTCTCCTTCTGCCTGGCTCCTGAGTTAGTGGAGATGCTGTTTGCTCTGTGGTACAGAGTCCTGATGACTCCTAACTTGTCCTCCAAAGGGTGATGGGAGTCAAATTGCAAATACTAGTCTGTGTGGGTGGGTTTGTGGTACACCTCAGTTTGCAAATGTCCTCTATCAGAAACTGAGACCTCACAGTCCAAGAAAGCCAGCATGCCATTTGTTACGTCTTCTCGTGTGAACTTGATGTATTTATCCACAGAGTTGGTGTTGTAGTATGCATGGACAGCTTTCGCTGTGGACCCACTACTTAATTAATTATTCTTAAGGCTAGTTCAAGCACAAAGAATATTAATTGTTTAATTAACAACGGATTCTTTCTTTTTCGAGTTAAATTTCTGCCATGTGACCAAGATAACTTGAGAGTGGAGTGTATAATTAGTGACATGAGACGCCATTTATCTTTGACCCATCAGAATAAATGTGGTCATTTATTTAACAAAATCAAAATTTAACATCAAACATGTACACTCGATTTGCTGATCTGTTTCTGATTAATAAACTTAGCAAGTTCAAATAACAACAGAGGATTACTGATGGAGAATAATTCATCTCTGAAGGCACCTAGCTTGATTTACTGGCGAATAGAAGTTTAAAGAGAAGGAGTAAAGAAATTTAAAGAGGAGATTTAGATGGATGAAGGAAGATGTGTTGACCAGAAATGGCACCCTTCCTCCGACCCCAGCTCAGCCCTCGGTACACTTGATTAATGTGATGACTCGTTACCTTTACAGAAGATAAATCATCTCCGGTACAGAGGTCCATTTCACGCCATCTTTCAGCGTCTCTGGTCAGAGTGGCTGGTAATTGTCAGAAGTCATGACAGTACTCCGTTCAACAGAATAAGCTTCCTTAGAAGTTGAGAGCATTTAATGCTCGGGGTGAGTTCACAGCGAGTCATGCTGTGACTCCGCTGAAATGGAGGGACCCTTGGCACATGGTCCAATTCATCAGCTATTTAGTTCAGCTGTAAGACTCCAGCAAGACTGTAGTCCCAGCCAGAACTCCAAACAGACTTTCAGTAAGAACTGAAAGTTCCTGTACGACTCGCCGTAAGACTGAGTCCAGACCATAGCCACCTGGGGCTCAATTTTATTGTACACCTTAGACATTCACTCATAACATCCTCATGACATTCACATATAGGAACTTGAGGTGGGCACTATGGCTATGGGTGGTGGGATGACTTTACTCTCGCCCCCTGTGCCTGTGCTCACTTACAATGGTTGCATTTAGACACTAGGGTTTGGATAGAGTTGGGGTGGAGGGGAAACTGGCATCATGCCAGCCTTTGCTCCTTCTTCTTTCCTTTTTAATGGCACTATACAACAACACACATCAACAACACATCTAGGGGCGGGGGTTTATGTGTCGGGGTCTTATTCTCTTTTTTTCTTTTTTTTTTCCTCACCCCCCTAGTTCCCTAACTGCCATTCCGGGGGTGGGGTCCGGGAGAAGGGCAGGCCGTCGGGTGTTGACTAGGACTATGTGGGGGTTCGGGGTCTGGGGGATTGCCGTGGGCGGTGCTGGCGCTGTGCTCTCCCTGGGGTTGTTTGGACCCCCTGAGCTTGGCTCTTGGGTGCCATGGTTGGCCCGCTGGCTGGGGTGGCTGCCGGGGCCTGGCGGGCGGTCGGCTGAGGGCGCATGCTTGGTTGTTGGCGGTGTGTGGGGGTGGTCGGTGGCGTGACCTCTTCGTGCTGGGGGGTGTCCTGTCGGCTGGGCGTGGCCTGGGCCGGATCTGGGATATTGGCTCCTCTCCGCTCGAGAATGAATGGGTCTACCTCCTGGGTTTGGGCATGGGCTGCCCCCTATAGAGGGTGGGTATATGTCTTGGACCTGGGGGGTATAGAGTGCGTATCGGGAATAAGAATGAAATGTATCGTTATTGTATGTCTTTGAGTGAGTGAGTGTGAGAATGAGGCTGGGACTGTGTGATTGTGTCTGTGTATGAATGGGTATTTGTTAGGCCGAGACTCGGACTGCCCCATCTTTGATACAACTGGGGGTGCTTGGCATCACGCCCCTATCGCGCCGCCCCCTGGTGGGGTGTGCCCTTGCCTGCCGGCGCGCTTGGGGCCCTTGGTGTCGGGGGCTGGGCGCTTGGGCGTGTGTCGGCTCGGCCTGGTGTCTGCCTGGT